GGAGGGCTCGTGGACTATGTCAATCTCAACGCCATATAAACTACAAAAGGCTGCACTACAACGGGATTCAACCATCCTCTTCTAGTGAGCTCGATCTTCGAATCTCTACTTCATACACCTTCATAAGAAATGAAAGACCAAGCAATAACAATAATTCAGTTAATGCATAGTGGTATAATCTCAAATAGTGACCAGCGAGGAGGCAAAGTTTGCATAAATAAAAGTTGAGACACTTTTGATTATAAAGGTATTTGAGATATGTAAAGTTAAGGATAAAATTCCCTTTAATGGTATCAACACTAAAGTGAATTCTAAAATGGGCTTTGAAGAAGGAATTATGGCTTTGTGAATGAGCTGACTTGCCGATAGAAGATATGGCTTTCTACAACGGTATCGTAGAGTCGCTTTGTCAGTCTGTCATCCGAGCAACGAAAGAGTTCTACTAGTAAATTATCTCCTTGCTTGTCGGATACGACTGCGTGATCTTCTGAGCTGGTTGACCTACGCTTCGAGTTGCGCTTTAGAGATCCAATCATGCCACCACTACCGATACTTTCGTTTAGCAGGGGACCCTTGCTAGAGGACCGCGAAAATTTCCCTCGCAGATAGGCCCCATAAGCAGGTTCTGGACGAACAAGTAGTTCAAAGTTACGAGATCTATAGGAAATTTGAACAATCCTGGCCCACGGAAAGTTTCTGATGCGTAACATATCACGGTATACAACCAAGCCGGAATGGTGAACACCGACCTTCACCTCCTCACCTTTGGCTGTCTGAAGGGTGAATAGAAAAAATTAGATTGAAAACTACCTACAGTGTAGGCTAATGCCCTTTAATATTAAAATAATTCGTTGAATAAGTAGTGTTCAATCACTTACCATCCAAAATATAAAGGATAAAGGGTTAGGGTCCTGAATTTCTGGCTTCAAACCAAAATAAAGGTTAATCGTTTTGCGGAGACATTGTGAGTGCAAATTAAGTAGGTATACTTGCAACAATGCACGTTAGGAACTTATGCAATTGAAAGAGTTCTGGCGCTGCGGATACTCTAGAATTAGGAGCTTCAAATCAAAGAAGTTTCT